AGTGTAGAATTTACACTGGGGGAGAAAATTCTAAGAGCGGAATCACTTTGAAGAAACTTTAGTGGACTTCGTAAGCGTTGATCTTGTTCCTGACCCTGTCCAATAAACTTAACCCCCGTGGTTCTGTGTAGAGGTTCGCACCAATTCCCGTAAGAGAAGGATAATATGGGAGAGATTTGGGTTACTGAGTAGTGACGAGACAAAATCTCAATACCGTAAAGGTCGAAATATCTGTACCTCAATCCTCCACAAGTCTAGAAGACTGAATGGAACAAAGCTGGCTAGGAGTCTATAAATATCCTGAACTCATATGCAGGTATATAAAGCAAAAGTTTAAGAGAATAGGCAACATCCCAGTATTATCCGGAAACAGTAGCACTGAATCATTAATGGAGGGCAGTTATGGTAAAGCTCAGGCATGCTCAATGTACTTGCCGTAAATATGTCCTCCCTTTCAGTTCATACAAACCCACTTACTGTGAACATTAAAGAACTCGATGTCTTTGGTCTATGATATAAGATTGTCGAAGTCCATCCTATGATACTAAAGGAACAGACAAATTTTGTCGCGAATCCCCTAAGGATATGTTTTAATCCATCTGGAACCCAAGGTCGATTACTGTAAGAAGAATGCTGTCATAATCATTATCTTCAAAATATGTATGAGACTCATTCCAGTATCCAGACGAAAACCATGATTCTTTCTGAATAGCAGTATGATTCTAAAACAAGTTATTCGTCCCACTAACTTAATGATAACCTCTAGAAGCTGTTGCGCTCTTAAAAGTTAAGAGTTACTCATAGATGTTGCCTAAATTGACTTCAGTAAGGCTTTTAACAAATTGTCAAAACTGGCTGCGGTTGGAAGCGATTTATTCATGTGGATAAATGAGTTCCCAGTTAAGCGTCAAGTAAGAGTAAGGGTGAACTCAAAGTCGTCTAGCTGATAAGCTATGATTAGCCTAGTGTCCCAATGTACCGTTTCGAGGACAGGGTTGTTCTTCATGTATGAAAGGGAAGCTCATAGTCTTCTAGTAAAATCGATTTTGTTATATGCAGACGATGTCAAGATATGAAGAGCGATAAAAAGTGGTGACAATCTACAGATTCAAAATGATCTGAAGAAATTATCTGAATGGTAGAAATGGGAGTTACTGATAAATGTTTCAAAGTGCACAATGATCCCTCATACTCACCAAGGTACAGATGCATATACGGTGGATAAAATTGAGCTACCTACTGTCCAGACACAAAATGACCTAGGAGTCACTGTTAGCCAAAACTTGAAAACTAATTCACACTGCCGTATGACAGTCGACAAAGTTTTTTGAATCCTATAGTCAGTACGTGGAGCTTTTAGCCATGTCATTACCAAGAACTTTCAGACTTCGTATACAGTATTCGATAGTCATAAACTCTAGCGCCTAGCTACTGCATAAAAAGTTGATGAACTGTTGACAACGGTTCAAAGGACAGCAGGTAAGCTTAGCTCCCGTATGATGTTCGGCAGGCAAAACTAAGCCTGTATCCATTGTCGTATAGAAGAACAACAAGTGAATTAATCAGTTTTTAAGTAACTTGGTGATAAATTTGCATCTGGTATGCTTTCGTTTTTCTTGTATTCAAAAACAGAATATGCGAGAATACTCTAAGAATGTTCACAAGTCTAGAACAAATTACTTGTCGGCTTACTATCGACTTCCCCATTGAATCATCAGTGAATGAAATTTATTACCTCAAACTCGACTGAAGCTTCAACTTTTGACACTTCCTTATGAACGTTGAAACAGCTAAGAGATCACCACTGCCAGGACAAACACAGAAAACCTAACCTCCTGACCCTTGCAAAATCAAACTGATACGGTGACGGTTTCCTTGATCTATTGTACATTCATCAAAGTTTCGAGATAATCAGTATTCAAAAGTTATGAACAAAGATACTGGCCACTCATTAGTTAGTCAACTGATCAATCAGACAAAACCAAAAATAAAAATTCCATATAGTCCCATTATTGATATAAATCATTTAATGTAAACAGTAACTCACAACAATACGAAATCAAAGATGTTATGGATACTCAGGGTTTGACATTGCAATTATCTGCAAAAACCTATAAAATCGAAAGATATCAACCTAGTCATACTAGAGCGTCCGAGGTGATATTTGAGAATTTATCGATATGCTGAATGTTTGATTTAGGCTGATTAGTTTTTGCGAGGGATGCGTAGCACGGCACACACAGTAGTAATCTTCGGCGGCTGAGTGACCAAGTGCCTTCAGCTAGGGTGAGTCCAGTGTCAATGTGCAAAACTTAAAAAAATATTTATTTATGGGAATTTATTTACCGCCACAATAATAGAATACGACACCATGGAGTTTCTAATTTCCTAGTCTATACTGATATTACTCAGTAATGCAAATGTTTCCCTTTTTTTCGGATTATTCGTTTCACATATTCAAGTAACTGGAATCACATTTGTTATTAATGTTTTCGAACACTTATCAGTATGACATCGTTTGTGAATGCCCTCAATTTAGGACTGGCCACCCCTACTAATTTCAATGACTTATTACAGAAATGAGTTTATCAGACACATATTATACGTGATTATCGGTTTCCGTGTCTAATATCATTTAAGATTTGTGACATTTCTACCAGCTCGTACACTGCTCTAACACGAAGCAGCTGATATAACCTACTGAGACTCAGTTGCCTTTTATGAAGTAGACGTAATCCCATCTGACTGGTCTCAATCTCTGATTGTGCCAGTCTATAAGAAAGGACAAAAGTCCTCTTGTGACAATCATAGAGGAATCAGTTTGACCAATATATTGTCTAGATTATTAGCTCCAATATTACTTCGAAGCCTCACCAAAGCTCGTGAAGAGCAGACTAGAGAACACCTGGCTGGTTTTCGACCTGGACGTGGCTGTATAGATCAGATATCCACACTACGTCAGGTCCCAGAACATAGACACACATCCAGACGCCCCATAATCATAGTATTTCTAGACCTTGAAGTGGCATTCGACTCTGTTGATCATGATGTTCTATCTCAGTGTTTGTCGCCGAGAGGAGTAACGAAGAGTGTACATTAACCTTATAAAGGCTCTCTACTCGAACACAAGTGGTCGAGTGAGATCTTATGGCGAACGGTCATCAGAATTGATCACGTCATTTTATTTTTTATATTTATTTATATGAACATAAATATTGGTATAAGGGGCACCAAATATATATGCGCCACATCTCAAGTGGTGTTCGTCAGGGCTGTCCACTCTCTCCATTCTTGTTTAACTTTGTCGCTGACGTGCTTTTGGAAATGACATTTTCCTCATCCAAATTTCCAGTAGTTGAACTTTTACTGAGATTCACTTGTTGACTTAGAATTTGCCGATGACATAGTTCTATTTGGTGAAGACGCTAACAAAATGCAGAATCTGCTGACCACTCTAAGCAACAATGCTGACATGTTCGGCATGCGATTCTCTCCCTCGAAATGCAAAATGTTGCTTCAGGATTGGGTTGCATCGATACCCGAACTAGTGATAGGGAGTGAAGTAGTTGAGCGTGTCTACCGCTTCACTTATCTCGGAAGTCTCATCAGCCCTTGTGGTTTGGTGTGTGACGAAATCTCAGCACGAATACAGAAGGCTCCACTAACTTTTGCCAACTTGCGTCATTTATGGCGTAGGCGAGATATCTACCAACTAAGGGACGAGTTTACTGTGTTCCTTTTTACTTCCTTACAAATGTTTCACTGCATTATGATGTTAGAATAACATCTCCAAACCCTAATCTTTCCGATTTCTGCTTATACTTTTACTACCTCTATCACTATGGGATTTGAATTGACAATTGTATCTCTGTGCTAAAGTGGCATAGCAACTTGAACTGATGTACGTACGTACGAAGTTTTACGCTGTTGATAACTGAGTCTCACAAACCCATCGCATGAATGTGATTTAATGGGGACTGCGGTTACATGACTCTTTGCACGCGTAATGATATCACATCGAAAGAAATTCGTGGATTTACTGTATAAGTTAGCCTACTTGCATACTAGTTAACACACTTGGTATACATACACAGGGAGCAAATATGCATATAATGTATATGAGTTTTTCCCCATGCATCCTATAGCGTACACAGGTATAATTACCCACTTGTGAGGGTAGATATTCACCATTCCCGAAGAAAATGTATTTGGTACACCAGATTGTCTCTTACACATATGCATTCCATTTACACCATGGCTATCACTCCAGTATTTCCTGACACACATAAGCACAAGCACTCTCTCAAGGGAGATAGCTGGTCGCCCCACTGCAGTATTTGCTACGACCTCTTCTTATGTCTTACGCTACTAATTTTTTTAGATACAGGGAAGATATTTTGCAGCCCAACGTTTTATTTGTACAAAACGGATGACTTCTGCAATTCCCGTACCTGAGCATACACAACGTGTAGCCCGAGAGGTAAAGTGAGCCCCGAGTATAGAACTCAGGATTGATCAGTTACGACAGAGTGAGTGGCCGGTCCGATCTCTGCGACCGCTCAAGTTGGCTGGAAGGGTTACCCCCACTATCCAACAACGCCACGAGGCTTTATATCGGATATGCTGCCAACCGATAAGTCAGTTGTTGGTTTAGAAACAAGTGCACAAGGGTGGCATTGTTGTTGCCAAATTCAATACACAAAACCGAAAAATAAACGCACTAGTGGCTATCATCAGTGGACAGATTAGCTTCACGATCATAAACTAGCCAAAATATCCGCCTCCAACAAATGTTAAGTTTTTTTAAGTCTTACCATATCTGTATAAAAATAACACGAATACTGCCAGTAAGAGAGAGAATAACAACGCACCACTACATCTGATAATAAACTACCCGAGATGCCTGCCGAAAACCTGACTGAAAGACAGGTATTCAAAAGCGAACCGTACGAATTTCTCCTTTCTCTATATAGTGCCGAAGTATCTTTAAGATAAAATGCAAAAGGCGAATAATGGGTTTATTGTTAGAATCTACTATATCACTTTCATAGAAATTAAAGTCAGTTGATACTCAACTCATTACTAAGAAACAGTGTGTACATAGCCAAACAATGAAAAAACTTTTGAAGTAGAAAAGCTTTAAATAAAATATATTTTTCTCAAAGAAAACGTTATTTTCGGAATATATCGCATGAGGAACGTTATTTCTTTCTACACAAATCACTAGCGATATTCGGTTAGGGAACTGGATGTCAGTCATCAGGACATGGTATTCAGAGCAGTAGTAGATGTAGGGCTGGAATGAGCAAAATAATCCAAAGGCTCGGAAGATGTGATAGCTTGTAACTGATCTGACGTTTCAATTTGTGTGGACGAAACCTAATAATGAGGAACACAGGTTAGTAGTGCGAATCGATCGATTTGTTAAATGAAATTATCAAATTAAAACACACAATACTACGAAAAATAGTATGACAATCTTAAGACCCTATTACAAAACACACTGAAGGACACTTATTTTAAAATATATTTAATTATCGAGGATAAACAAAGTAATCACATTTGGAGTTGTAATAATAAAAAGATATGAACGGAATTCGATTGAAGAAAATGGTTTGATTTATACACAACTAAAAAATAACCGGAATTCCATAGTCTACAAGCATTTTTCATAGTAATATGGGATATATAGATTAAATGACCATAATAATAATAATGACAAACGTCACGAATTACTGAACGTAACAAAATGTTACCTACTTAACTTTCTAGATGGAACCTCCCAAATCGTTTTCCTATTAGTTGTTAAAAATGATAGAGATATATGTTAAACTTTTATCAATTAAATGACGCAGAATTGAAATAAGGGCAAGTCAAAAGAAACAAATAAGCAAGAAAATTGAATCTACACAATTTGTGATTAAATGATTAAAAATGAAGAAAACACAAGCTATAACCGAACTTACATGTTTTACATCATTATCAGTAAATTTTCCAGCTTTGGTTTCGGACAATGCTGGATACACAAAACTCATTTGTAAATCACGTCCATGAAACTGCGTAAACTGACGAATGGCTGCCTCAGCGAAATCACGAGTGCAAAATGTAACTTCCAGTACTAACTGATTAGTTTCAGGGTTAGTTTGTTTTGTACAAGATTGTGTATGCAGGTAATTTAGCTTGAAGTATAATGAGAAATTCGGGAAAAGTCAAAACCGATCGGGAATTTAAAGTTACTTTCAAAAATGAAAAAGTGAAAATAAAGCTTTGATAACACTACAGTTCTTGAATTTAGTCACCTGATTTTTTAGGACAGTCTACGTGTAAGATGTGCCACACTTTGAAACTGGGTACCTGGGTTGGTGGAATCAATTGGAATGTCGTTGGGAATTTCAATAGTACCACACAATTTTCACATTTTTGAACATGTGTACAGGTATATGCGTAACTGTTTATCCGTAAATAATAGTAAAGCATTCTGGTTTATATTAGTTGTTATATATTTGTCAAATATGTTTTAGAGGAAATACTAACGTGTTGAGAGGCAAATAGTGAAGAGTAGAGGAAGAAAAGCGCCAAAAACTCATTTCTTGAATCATGAACTCAACAACTTCCAGCTTAAATAACTACTTAGAGATCAAAACTGTGAGCTGTAAATGCGATGAAGGAATACTAGGTGCAGCGATTTCGGACTAATTTATAGTCGAACTTAAATATATAGCTATTACATCTGTGTGAATAGAGATGTCATCCAAGAAGCAATATGCAAGCAAGTTACATTGGTCTAACAGTACATGAATACTGGAAATTTCGACATCATAGTAGTTCTATTTAATATTTGTTTTATTCAACAGTAGTGTAGAACACATTCTAGATATGTGATTATATTAACATAGTAATAATAATAAATGCTATTAAAAACTGTTTTTGGTATGACAATAGATTTTTTAAGAGCAAAATACATACTGAGAGGGCATTTTGAAAGTTTTCTACATCATCTGGTTCGATGCCAGTAATATACAAAGTTCGAGGTCGCTTATCAAGTTTGGTTTGAGTTCTGTTTGGGTATACGGAATTGTCGCCGAGGGCACAACCGCTTGCGTTCTGAGACAAAAACATATCTGATGGCCGGACTGTCTCCAAGTCGACAAGCTAATAAACAAAAAGCCGTTTGAAAATAGCAGATGAAAAGGAAGAAATTAGTGTAACTATAGGATTACATTTAGCTAACAAAATTCAAACATCAATTCATATAGACAAACAACCATATTGCTTGTGCTCAAAAATGAACTGATAATAGTGCTAGCGATTATGGAAAGAACGCTCTTCAGTTAGTTAGTTGGGTAACGTAGGACACGATAATTAATGTGATCAATAAAACGATATGTAATTTGTGTACTCATATTCAACGAAGATTTACACCAATAAATACGTTGAATGAAGAAGTCAGGTTGACCTTCGTGAATAAGATCGTATGATTTTGAAGTTTAGCTGCACAAGACAGGATGAAGTCCACAAAGTCAGTGAACTTATTAGTATGTGCGGAATTACAGCCTGTGATTAAGCTACGAATGTAATAAGGTTTGCGTGTATGTACAGTGATCTAAAGACGGTTTTAAAAAATACCAAGAAACTGTTTAAGGGACTCAGTAGAATGGTCTTTGGAAGTGACACAATCTTAAACTAGATTCTATATTGAGAAGAGAGGTAGATCTGTTTATGGAAATACAAGTTAATAGTATATTCAAGTTTATCATTGGGTATCTGTAACTATTTTTATTAACAACTGATTTCAAATGTGAGCTAAAGTCTAAAGATTGTACAATTCATTATACACTGAAATTAACCTAAACGAAAACCGATATGTGTAGATCTAGAAACCAAAAAGAATACTAAAAAACACTAGTCTATATGTACGAATGAGTCCATAGATTCTACATCTGAGGCAAAAAGACCCTACCTGGCGCTTAAGTTCTACGATCCTTCGACGACCTTCTTTTAATTTAACCTCATCTTGAGTTGCATCACGTAGGTTTGCTTCCAATCTATCGATTTCGATTTGAATCTAATAAGTAAAATATAAGAAGCGATGAATTAATATATGATAAATAATAATTAGAATACTAAGGAAATACTCAAATGTACATTGATGACTTTTTATGGTTATCATAATTGTTAATTATTTGTTAAGTTGGTAAGAAACGTAATTTATTAAAATGGACGAAGTTTATCATTATCATTGAAATTATTTAAAAAACAACTGCATGGACGAATTTAAATAATGTAAACATACTTCAGAAATTTGTTTTTGTCTTTCTAATCGAATTGGACTCGGTAAAGCTTGTAATGCGGCCGCACTAATTGTTGTGCTTCCTATTGGTTTTGAAATGAACATTTTTTTGCTGTTTGATTCTCGGTTTAAACTTCGGATATCCAAATCTTTCTTCTCAGCTTCCACAGTCGATTCAAGCTCAGTTTGTAGCCGTTTGGCTTCAGTAAGTAATTTCCGTCTTTCATCCAATGTCAGTGGTTTTGAATCTGTACAATTGTCTGTTTCGCTAGTACGATTATTTTCCAACTGACTCATCACTCTTTCAAGAAGCAACTTCAGTTTAGTAATTCGTTGTTTTCGAGCCTCAATAACTGATTCTCGGGCTTCACGAGACTAGAGAAATAAAATATGAACATTTAAAAATGAAATTAAATGATAAGAGGATAATTTCACAGTTGAAATGATGAGTCGATCTAAGCTAGAATACCATCAAAAACCTGAAGGTACTCGACAGTCGTTTCGTCCCACTATGGGACGCATCAACAGTGAGCATCCACGATTCCGCATGCGGGATATTTGACGAAATAAACTACATTCTAGTAAATAGTTAACTGTTATCAGATAAATAGGTATATCATATAAAAACAAATCACACTGAAATTGAATTATTAAAATGCAATATAATCAGATATAAATATATGGTTAAATTCTATTTTAGCTTGACGTAAGAAAAGTACCTTATCTAAAAGCATAAGTTGTTCTTTACGTTGCCTCAATGCAGCCATTTTACGACGCTCCCAAAGAATTGCCTCAGCCTCTTGTTTATGCGACAAAGTATAAGGACTTGACGTAACAGTTATATTATTATTATTGAGTTGCCTTGCTGTATCCTGAAAGAACACAAAACAAGGTCTTGGTGAATAAACAGTCCATTGCCTTTGAAAAGATATAACAAAAACTGAACAAATGATCAGATCATTGTGTTTATGATTTAAGACTATTAAACACAAAATTCGATACATCTTAATAAGCACAAAAAGTGTGTATTACATTATCGAGTTGCATATACATAAATAACCGATGAACATTCATCATACCGAATTGTTGTAATGACTTTTTTCAATGGGGTTTTTACAGAAACAAGTATAATTATTAGCACGTCAACATTGTTGTACTTATTACACAAGACATTTAAAAGTGTAACAAATGGGGAATCCCTACTTAGTAATTAGCATACGAGTCGCGGCTATTAATTAGCAAGAGATAATTCAAGCTTTTTGAGGTGAATACTTACCATAAAATTAAAATGAGACCTTAGTAGTTTAAATATTAAATAGAAAATAAATACATTACGCTATAAAGCACAGTTATGGTAAAAAAAATCAAGGTAACAATCATAATACTAAATTTGGGATGAATGTATAACAGGAATGCAACAGAATTAATTGATATCGTGATCTACACTACAATGAACAAGTGCAGTAGAAAATGAAAACAAAAAAATACTAAAGTGACAGTTTCCTGAAAAAAAACGAAAACAATTTAATGTTTAAGAGTAAAGATCATGCTTTCGTTCTCTGATCTTCTACAGTAATCAAATACTCTTTAAAACCGTCATACTGCTTGAAAAAATTAAGTAGTGAAAGCTTCATGATACCAATAAATGACCTTTAAAATGCTTGATAATAAATAAAATGGTTAAACTGAGCTGTTACAGTATGCATCTATTAAAAACAAGTTGCCTAAAACCCAATTAACTGTACTGCTGTTATGCGTTTTACTTAACAGAATGTCAATCTTTAGCTGCGTAAAAATAAGAGATGGGATTGTTCGACCAAAATGAGCGGGCACAAAATATACTAACCGAAATCATAAACCAAACCAGGTGTAGTGATTACGAAGTCTGTGTGTAGTTCAGTATTGATATTGATAAATTGTAATGCCTTTAGATACTAATCGCAAACACTTAGATAAAACTAGAACTAAAGAGAATAACATTAGATAAAATTGATAAAACCTGATGTCTACAAAATATCGAGAGACGTGGACAGATTTAGGTATACTTTTCATAGCTACAGCTTCTTCTTTGAGTCATAAACCATTAGTTAGGATAAAATATTCAAATTTAAAAAAATGGACAATCATTTCTACAAAATCAATATAATTAAAATTTGCAATCATTTACTTAGAAACAACAAATCTACTGACGATTTAACGAAGTAATTTAAAAAAATAACCATTTTACACTCACAGGATTACGAGTAAATAATAATGACTCTTGATCAACATTAAGATCAACATAATTATCTACTACTTTATCAATTCTTTGATTAAAAGCTTTGCTACGTTCTTTGATGAAAGTGGCAGAATTTCGTTCATGACTATCTATGGTAGGATTTTCGTCAATTAAATCGTCTTCTTCATCACCAGATAATAAGGCATCTCCACTAGTTGGATTACGTTCTAAACGCCAACGAGATCTATTACCCCTTTGGAGGGTATCATCAGGAAGAATGCTGCCAGGAACTTGTTGATTTTCTATACAGTCATTAGTCATACTCATCCATGAATATGAATTAATTTTGTTATTTCCAGGAACAGGTCGTGTTCCTAAACGATCCAGTATACTCTGTAACAAAAGTTTAAAAATAAGAAAGTTATAGACAAGAATATATTGTAAACGCTTCAACTACAAATTAGCTTTTTGTTAAAACATGATAGATAAACAATTAATCAATGGGCTAATCTGAAATTTATCAATAAAATATCTTAAATTACATTAAACAGATAAACATATAACATAATCAGTGTTGGAGCAATATTATCTGACCAGTAAATCAAGTCATCCTATTTATTTACTAGGTACAGATTGGTGTACATGGTTTGGGCCAGCGATACCAACCGGGTGCTTAAGCCGGAGTGTATGGAGCGAGGTTTGAAACTGCAACTGAGTAGAATGAATTAATCATTGAACTATCGCTCTATAGTGAATGTTACATTAGTAAATCATATTCCATAAAAAAGATCAAAATTATTAGGCTCATGAAAGTTACATGTAACTTTTAGGATTCTGAAGAATAAACACATTTCTAATTATTTAAACTTAATCGATAACTTGAACAATTGTCTTCTAAAAAAATTCACCTCCAAACGTTGTTTTATAAGTTAAACTACCTACACAGTCGGTTAATCAAATGAGACACAGAACTTGGCACATGTGTACTTCCGTTCAAGTTTCCCAACCCCATTCAGACAGCGTTATGAAACTATCTGGACAAATCCCAGAGTGGTAGAGGTAGTAACAGCATTAACGATAGTATAAAAGTTTAGGGATCCAAGATACAATTCGAAAAGTAAATATAAATTAGTGAAATAATAGTTTTGGAAAATGTATCCGGAATTTATAAACTTAGGATCTAAAGGAATACCACTATAAACGATTTTGAGCAATGTTACTCACAATCCCCATACATTGGTTACAATGATCAAGCAGACTCCAATCAAGTAGTTTGCATTTACCTAAATAATTCAGTCCAACAGTGTCTCTATGGTCTAATGTTATATCTTGATTTGACCTCCTCTATTTTTCTTTTAATCTACTCCAACATCAGTCATCAGAGCCCATTGAAGTAGTCAGTGGATGGTGTGTATATGTAATACATGTTCCAACCCTCTCAGTCGATAAAGAATCACTACCTAGTCGCCTGATTCGCCACGCTTACCTAGTACTCCGAGTCTAAAATCGGTATCACCAAGGAATTATATGGATCCATTATGCACTAGAATTCGCTAACAATGAGTCACAAATAACCTAAGTAGTACTTTGATTACCTCCTGGGACAGGAAATATCAAAGATGATACAGATGAAAATGAGGATGGACAGGGAAATAGCGCTAGAACTCAGCAAATAAGAATAAATATTAGATGTATGTGAGCACCAGATGGCACTGATTTAGTATGCAATACAACTGTACCAACTAGTTTACTAAATGAAGGTTTATAACTTAAGTAATTGTTTGTGTATTATTTTAGTGATTAAAATATTTGAGATGGTTTAGCGGTTAAGGTAACTAGATTTAACCACTGATTCGCAGGTTTAAAATCCAGTTAATCTTCGTATTAACAAGCTAGTTAGTATTATTATAAGCGTGTCTTAAAGTCGAAAACATGAACTTATATGTGACTATTTAGTTGAAAAAAATAAATGAAAAAAGATTCGTGAGCCATGTTTTAAATACATAAATAGTCGAATAACCGCAAACTATGCATATACCCATATTCTTAGTAATCATGCTGTACACCAATAAAATCATAGAAAGCAGACTACCAAGAAGTAAACTTGCCCACGACAATATAACAGTTAAAACAGCAAATGTAATCGAAGAATATTGTTTTCAATCAGACTTTTATCAGACTTGACTCTAATATACGATAATATTAATATGCATATATGAAAAGTATCAAACCCATCAGTTTATGAGTCAATGATTATACGCATATAAGTCGCACTGAATACCCACTGCAATGAACCCATCAAGTGGAATAAACCTCTAACTTCTCTGACCTTGCATAAGATTCAGGTTTGTAAGCAAAAAAAAAAACAAAAAGATTAGTAAAAATGGAAATTTTGTAAAAATAGTCGCAACCTGCATGAAAGCCTGTGTCACCGCTGCTAAAACATGCACAATATTTCAAAAATTACACATCCTACTTTTAAAATTTTACAGTTAATTTAATACACTATAAAATCTAACCTTGGGACGAGGGAAACGACTAGTCACACTTCGAGCATTGTGTTTGAAGTTTTCTGGAAAACGAGTGTAAATTCGAATAAATCTATTTGAAAACATAGGAATGGGGCTTCGATAGGCTTTCTCAGCTTCATCTGATGAAGAAAACTCAACCACTGCGGACCCTACCATGCCCTTGTATCTAGCGATGACGTTTACTACATGACCAAATTGAGCAAAATGCTCACGAATTTTATCAGCATCATTAAGTTTCCAAGGAAGACGATCGATATACAGAGTAGTACGAGGATCAACAGTTCGAGAAGTGATATCCAAAGAAAGATCTGTGACTCCTGATGTTTTTGGGACTACAGCATATGAACTGATTTGTTCAGTGATAGGACTGGGTTTATATGATAATGGTGGGGTAGAGGCATTATGTTCTACATCCGAAGTATCGCACGACTGTAGAATATTGGACTCGGACGTCGAAATCATGGACAAATGTGGTCGATCTGGTTCGTAGGCAGGTGGAGCTGGATTAATTTCGGTTTGATCTTTATTGTTAGTATTTTGAATCATTGGCAAAGGAACTATATTTCGACTAATAGTGTTGACATTGTTAAATACGCGAAAATTATTAGAACGCTGTTGCACGTTATTCTGCAAACGGGGTTGCTTCCAATTGGATTTATTATACAAAACAGAAGGGTTAGGAACCTGTGGAAGTAATCCAGTATCCGGTGACTGATCAATGCAACAGGTCATTAACATTTGGTTATCTGGATGATTAACTAAATAGAAAAGACAAATTAATGAGGACAAAAAACGGATAACAATGAACTTCCCTGAGCCAAATATGTGAAAGGTAAAATTAGGCACAAAATTTACAGTTATTAGTTTACTGGAATCATATACCGAAAAAATGTTGACATGGAAACATTTCGAACTGATCCAATCTTGGCAATCATTGGTTTCATCAGTAAAGCCAAAAACAACAGTGGTACAACTCCTCATTGGGCAAGTGTTCGGTTTTTCATATCTTCTTAACCACTGATAAGGTAGAACGAAAGGTTTGCCTGATAGCGTTCTTGATCTTTTCTGATAGATCAAAATAAACAGGTCTCTGTTACGACGGCACAACCGACAGTTAAAACGCTGGAATTATTGACGTGGTCGAATAAATAATTTGCCCACGTATACGATCATTAAGTTCCAGTCGAATAGATTCCAGAACCAGTGGTCAACTGACAGGACATCTATCAAGGAGTTCAAGCTGTCGTTAACATAAAATATCCAACCAATATAATATGAACATGAGCTACTTTTTAGGTAATGATTAATTAATCAAGATTATAAAGCAATCAATGGGGGTCTATTAATATCCATAATATGAATCTATATACAACAATGCAGAGAAGCTGTTGTTAAAAATTATGAACTGTAATGTTATAATGTGTATATATGAACGTAAATGTTATTCATAAGTAGTTTTTCAGCAAGATTATTACATATATATTTTGTTAAAACTAATGCTTTCTCATTTAGATATACTGTAATATAGGTACAATAAGCGACAGACACCCACAACACCGACACAAAGCCAAGGTCAATGACTTCCGAAGTTTACCTCTTAGAACAAAGTAAGACAATGATTGATCACAGCTAACAAGGAAACATGTGTAGAAGAAATCAATATACTTTATTTAACTTCAAAACCATTAGCCTTGAAACTAAAATGAAATCAATATGTATGTTATTTCAAGGATTTTATTATTATTGTCTCAATTATATAGTCGCACTTGGAGCTATTCTGGCAACACTGATTGGTAGCCACAACGACCCACAGGACATTGCATTTTTTCGACAATAATTAGATTAATTAACTAACAAATAATTTGAACATGCCACTTAAATAGCATATTGATGCTGAATTCTAAGAGTTACAAAACTCGATATTTACAATACTTTTCGAAATAACAATGTAGCCATATAACTATATATATCTACGAATGTACAGCTTAAGTAAATGATTTCGTCGAAAAGAAAATTTTCTTCGCTGGATTCTCTATTTCGTAGCCAAGATGTTTGCAAGTTATTTGTTATGCTGATGCTTTATGTTCAATGATGTGAAATTTCCACACAAAATTTGCTACCTGAACATCTAAAATGATTTTATTTTTGCCAAATATTTACGCAGCAGTTGGATCTAACTATTGAACCACTGGTTGTGTGAAGTGCATTTCGATAATCCGCACAAAATACTTTTTTTAATAGCATATAGCACTATTATTCCTGCTAATAGAATCTTATCAACTCCATGAAATTTAATTAGCACAATAATCAACATTAAAATTTTAACATTAATAAATGTATCTAGCATGACCAGATAAAATTCATTTTCCAATCCAAAAGGTTAACAGACAAAGACAAACTCGGGATACGTTTAGACTTTCGTAGACGTACATTTGATGCAGGAAAATAACTGAAAATGAAAGATACATTATGTTAAACCGCAACAGTGCAGCGAAGCCAAGATACACGGCTAAGACCTTAAAATATTAGAAAATTAGGCTCTGAACTTAAAAAATGAGTGCATTATGGTATAGTTTATCAGTACCAGAAATCTCAGTCAATATTTTTCTCAGGATAACATCGTTATGACGTCAACTTTCTACTAAATTGAAATGAGTGAGGATTATAAACTTTGATGACTTATTACATTATTTAATACAATACTGACAACAGACATTTAGTTCGTCTTGATGATATGATGGTTAGCAGTACATCTTATCTAATGTACGCAACAATGACATAAGCCCTTTAATTTCAGGTGAATAGGCTATGTGATGCTTTAAATTATGCATTACAACTTATCTGAAGTAATACAAGATAAAAACTAAAGAGCATGCAATGTTACAACCACTGAGTGATGTGACAATAAACCGAATTTTTAAAAACTAGTCCATTCTCTTTTCAGGTTCAAATCATGGTAATCAATACGCAACTACATTGAAAATAAATCCCCATTACATAAACTTATCAGAAAATTTCCTACAACTATTTACTTTCTGTTAATATACACTTATTAAATTGCTTCGTTTTATGTATATATATATTTGATTCCCCCCTGTACCAATATTTATGGGTTCAAATAAATAAATAATGTACATAGAGAAGAGCTTCACTACACTGATTCACTGAATAATCTACGTTAAGTGGATTACAAAAGACTGAATAACTTGCAAACAGGACATTTGTGTATGGTAAAAGTATGATTGGAATAATAAAAAAACTAGTTTGCTTTCATTTCAACCTATTTTAATGCATGAGTCTTTAACCTCTGGGAAAATTCTAAACTGACTGGTGGAAATAAGTTTATATTTTGACATGAATACATTTTGTATATGGAGTTGGAAATACGACTTTAACCAATTATAATAATTATCTGTGGAATCCAGAAAATGACTTTTACCACATTTTGGCCACTTCGATTAGGTATACTGGTATTTCACTAATAAGTATACCACTGTTATAACTATTTGGTAGGTTCAAAACTTTATTACATCAGTGAAAAAAATCTAGTGGTAGATTTTACGTCTTTAGTTAAACACCACAGTAAGCAATAAACATACTTGGAGTCGGGTGATACACAGGAATAAGAGGAGCAGCAATATGTTGATTTAAATCGTTAAGTTCAGTTGGCCCAGATAAAACAGCTGCTACAAAAGATTGAGGCTGAAGTGTACTAGATTTTGATATCTCTTTTCCAAAATTCATTGGTAAATCCCCAGTACTATTTGAGAGTGTATTAGTATCTAACAAAGGGTTTGTGAGATGAGCGATGGCGGACACAGCAGATTTAGCAGACGAAATTACCAAAGCATTCGGGCCGTGGTCAAACTGACACCTGTCTCCGTATACACAAAAGCCACGCTCTTCAAAATCACGGCAGCGACGGTTCCTTACACCTCGACACTTTTCATCAACTACTCTGTAATCGGTGACAGACTTCGCAAAAGATTTACACGAACGATTGTTATGCTCATCTTTGTCCCGTGAGTGGATACGTTCACGACTGTTATACTTATGTGATTCTGAATCATGATACTTATTTCGACGCGATGAAATTGTATTTGAATGGGTAACTTCTTCATTTGAACTACCTAAAACGAAAATAAAATTTACAACTTCAAATAAATCGTTGCCTAAATAAATGAACAGTTGCACTGACAACAGTTAATGCTAATAGACGTAGTCAGAAAAAAAGTTAACTACAAACCTGATGAATTGCGTCTGATATGACCATCCACTGTTTTTAAGCTGGATTCTTCTGAGTGGTTATTATGACGCCCACGACTGCAGGAATCTAAATGTGGTTCAAGTTCTTTCCCATGTTGCCTAGTAGTTGTACTTGTATTATTTATTGACCTTCCTGGGGAATGGGGACTGCGTGAACGACTATCTGACGAAATTCTTTTTGCTTTATTCTCCGGTGAGCGTTTTCGTTTCTGCTTGGGAGCACAAGTGTCCGTGGTATTTGGAACGTTAGCGTTATTGTTTGTCAAATGTCTTTTCCTGTCTTTTGATACATTATCAAAAGTATTTCCACAAGGGTTTTTTCCAGAAGAATCTTTTGGGTAAAAGTTGTCCGAAGACTGAGTTGGTTTCAGTGTTTCACACGCAACATATGTTTTTGATTTAAGTACAGCAAACAAATCCTCCACGAACTTTGCTGTATTTTCTTGCAAGAATACTTCCAACTGGTCAATACATATTTCTCTTAGTTCCTGCTCGCCTTTGTCCTTTTTTATCAGGGCTATTACGTACTGAGAAAGTGGAATCGGATCAGCAACACACCTACAATGTGCACAAGTTGCAGGGATAGTTTTAAAAACGAAAGTGCAAAAATATTTAGAAACAATTTATAGTGAAAAAAATTAAAAATCTCTACTTAATCCATCATAGATCCAAATAAAAATTACTTCTGTTCAATGACGCAGTACAGCTTTTTTTATTTTCTAAAATACTCGAATTATCTGGAAATAATATGTGAGCTGAAGTTTATATAGTTATTAATTCTGGCTTGAATGAAGTAGTATACGGATATTGTTATTTCAGTAGGCATGGTATCAAGTAATTAACTTCAAGTACTGACTTATCAATGAAACTAGTCACTTAGATAATGTAAAAAGTGCATTTAGCCAGTTCAGATTCAATATCAAAAACAGAACTTCCCAATTTTTTAACTGCCAGCAAGACGGTAATGGTGAACCGTATCTATGTCATGATTACTTTATGATGGGATGCACCGAAAATTTCTGTCCATTTGAAATATTGTATTTATGTTAACAGTACTAATGCTTTCGACAAACTTACATTGAATGGGTTAATGATTCTTTATCAACTCACGAGTCTAAAACGATAAGAACAAGTGAAAAAGTTCGTAACTTATTTTATTGCTTACCAGCAGCACGGACGATTTTAACTGGAGCCCATTACGGTTACAGCCTGTTCCCATTACCAACAAATGTCATTTTCCTTTAAATACTACATATCTCCATTTCCTAATTATTTCAAGTAGACAGACATCCTGATGAGTTTTCGCTTGGACATCGTGATATGCTGCTCATCTACCAGTAGCATCGGACTTATTGCTTTCAAGATATTCCGCAGCGTAATTTACATGGATGAATTTCCGCTTTGTCACTGGGACGAACACTTGCCTTATTGATATACAATACTGTATTGATGTCTAAACCATTGCTCATGAGTTGTATGCTTGTAGCATGGTACATGTGAAAAGAGAATTTTCTTACAGGATGTAGAACATAGAGCTTTGGCAAGACATAATGTTAAACCCAGCCACCACCTCAAAAGTGCCTAACACCACAAAAGAAGGGGTGGAGTCACTAGCCAACAGGCGTTGAATGTGACTCCTGCTGGAGCACCAGCACAAAGAATAGATCTCTGTGGACAGCCTGAGCGAAATTCGAGAATGGAAAAATACGAATTTATTCAACAATAGCCGGACGTAAAACGAAGCCCAGCTACAAACTGAATATATAGAAGCATTGGAGCTGATAAGTAGAAGACCTGGAAACAGTAGATAAAGCTGCACGAAAACCTTGACGAGAAAATATGGTAAGCAGAGGCGACCAGGCATGAACAAAGACTCAGCCGAACAGCACACAGGCGACTGTCAACGGTTGTCCATTCTAATGCCCTGGTATGGCCGAGAGTGAGGTGGGCTCACCCTCCCTCTCGAAATACTCTCACACGGCCACGCGTATACAGCCTCTACCAGGGAAGTCCTACTCACTGCCTTCTCGTGACAGGAGTGTTGTTTACGAAAGTGAGAGGACGAAACGTGAATGTCTGGTGCTTTAACTGGATTCCAAACCAATGGTGCACATTGGCTCCAGTATCCTGAGGGAGAAAATGGCGCATGAACCAATTGTTGGTCACCAGCTACAATGGAACTGCATCTCCTTACGATGTTCTATTGCCTTGTGGATCAGATTTTTAGGTCAAAGGCTCGGGGTGTGGCCCCCTAAAGAAACCATCTGCTCCGGTCTGGGCACCCGGGGAGTATCACAGCCCACACACAAACACAACGAAATGACGACACTTACGGAAAATACCAGTCAAACGATTCACATTATTATTATTTACTACGTCATTTTTTCACTATCTCCTATTTCTACTTTTTGTATCCGTTTCGACTCAGACAGCAGCTCGCCTATGGTAAAAATTCAGCTTTATCTAAACGTTCTCGAGTCACTGCCTGGTTGAAAATTGTATGTTGCCACCGAATACGAGTACTGAAGCAGTCTTTCTGAAACCACGTGCACCATTCAAACTGGCTGTCTTCAACGTTCGCACACTTATGCAGGTCGGACAACAGATAGGGCTAGTTGTTTTTGGAAAGTCTTAATATCGACGTTTGTTGTCTATCCGAGACCCGTATTCAAGACTCTGGTGAGGTACTACAAGTTCGGTCTCCATCTGTCGCTTCAAAAAGCTTGTTTTATGTGCGTTTATCCGGGGACCCTGTGGCATCTTCGTCTGGTCTTGCTGGCGTTGGTGTCGCACTAAGCGCTAGAGCTGAGGCAGCACTAGTCGACTGGATCCCCATTAACAGTCGGTTATGTGCTGTTAGATTAGAAAGTTCCATCAAAGTGAAAAGAAATCGGCGTGAGAAACGATGTCTTTTCGTCATCTCCGCCTATGCCCCGACAGATTGCAGCCCGGATGCAATCAAGGATGAGCTCTACCACCAGTTATCTGTTCTTCTCCAGAAAGTGCATCCCACAGATATTGTAGTACTAGCCGGAGACTTGAATGCTCAGGTCGGGCGTCTAGGCACAGAAGAGAGCCGTTTAGGTGGCCGATGGGGACTTGTTGGTCGCAGGACAGATAACGGGGGACGTCTACTGCAACCGTGCACAGACCACAACCTGTTTCTGGCTAGCACTAACTTTCGGCACAGTCATCGCCGATGTGCCACCTCGCGTCCTCCCTCTGCATCTCAAGCCTGGACTCAGATTGATCACATCGCGATCAGCTACCGCTGGCGTGGTTGTGTACAAGACTGCCGCTCCTTTTGGAGTACCTATCTGGACTCTGTTCATGCTCTGGTCTGCGCCAATCATATCTTACTTTTCAGTGGACAACGAAGTGACCGTCACCAAAGGATTGATGTCAGAAAGTTGGTTGGAACTTCTGTTGCTAGTATGTATCGAACCGAGCTAGTTTCTAGGCAACTACCATTCGACCGAAAAGTATAGATGAGCATCGGTCTCGTCTGCATAACGCCATGAAAATGGCGAGTAAGGCCGCTTGCAGCTTCGCGAAACGTCCCGCTTACAATCACTGGGTTTCTTCAGGCTCCTTACAACTCGTTGAAGCCCGTCGGTCTACTCCGGGTGACCGTGAGTTTGATCACAAACGAAGGCTGTTACGTAATGAAATCGGGAAAAGCTTGCGTAAGGACTGAGAAGCCTGGTAGTCGGAGCTAATGAGCTGAAAGCAGCAGTTGCATCTGGTAACTACCGGAAGCTCTCCCAATTCATTTGAGCCACTAGCTGCAAGTCTGGTGTGAGCGAAACAATCTGCGTGGATGACGGGATGCCAATCACTAACATCCATCGACGCTTTGGACGATGGGCAGAATTCTTCGAAGGGCAGTTCAACTGGTCAGCTGCTCCGGCATAGTGTTTTGGGGCTAAAAATTCTTTACTTAATTTCGCGTCGTGGGAATTGCAGGTCTTTCGTTCCGAGTATAAGTGATCGGCGTTTTCCGACACAACAATCAGAGGCGACCAGATATAACAAAAGGACTGGCTTCTGTTGGTCCTTCACGACTCCTTGGCTGGGGTCCGAGGGATAGTGCAACACAGTGGCTAGAGACGTTACCACATATTGCTCAGAGTAGAAGCCAGTGGCGATCCTGCTGTAAACTTCTCTTACTTTCTTCATAAAAAGTGGTTGTATCTTCCTTAACTGAAAGAATTCTTTTGGTTGTACCTTTCCATTTCCTCCATTACTATGGATACACTACCTTACACTAATTCGTGGTTGTTATTGCTCCTCTTTTTTTCTTTTACGCTCCTTACCTTCTTTTTTTCTCTTACCATTATCATTGTTTTGGATGGCG